CTGTCTGGCCCCTTCCTCTGCTGCCTGGGAGTGCGATCGCCTGGTCTGGTCTTTCTCCTCCTGACTCGCTCTACAGGAACCCTTCCTGTTCAATCCAGGCTGCAGGGGACCGCCCAGACTTCCTCTTTCCCTAGCTCTGAGCAGTATTCCATTACGAACACAGAGCATCATTTCTTTACTGCCGCTGTGGGCCACCTGGGCTGTTTCCAGCTCTTGGCTACTGTAAATAGCCGTGCAATGAACACAGGTGCCCAAGAATGGTTTTGAACTGATTGTCTTTTCTTCCCAGGATGGATACCAAGCAGTGGAATCACTGAATCACATGGCAGGTCTACTTTTCATTTTTTGAGACATGACCATACATTTCCATTACCTCTTCCCCCCCCCCCCCCCCCCCGCGATGCTCAGGGCTGACTCCTGGCTCTGCACTCAGGAATTACTCCTGGTGGTGCTCAGGGGACCATATGGGATGCCGGGGATCGAACCCAGGTTGGCCATGTGCAAGGCAAATGCCCTCCCCACTGTGCTATCACTCTGGCCCATCTATCTTAACTATATGATCACTCCCTAGATCAATGAATTTAAGCAATAAAATTCTACTTGACTGAAAAACAGGAAGGCTAGAAGAATAATGAAGGACAAGCATGCCTTCCCATTATGAGGCAAAGGTGCCCTAGATCATTCAATTCCCTGTTTTTGATGATAGGTGATGATGGGTATGGCCCAGAATAATCAAACAGGCAGTGCTTGAGTTTATGGTTTTTTAAGGGGGGGTTGGGGAGGGTGCTGTGCTTACTCCTGGCTCTGTGCTCAGGAATAATTTCTGGCAGGGCTCAAGGCACCCTATGGGGTGCTGAGGATTGAACCCGGGTCAGCCACATCCAAGGCAAACACCCCACTGACTGTTTTAAGCCAGAGTATAGAAGTCCCATGAACTTGACTGCCACTGTACTAAGCCCACACGTCTGTTAGACAGGTCACAAGGGTGCACACCAGACTTCACATAGAAAAGCCCGTCAGGAATTCCTCCCCTTCTGCCTGGGGGAGTGGTCACCCCTGCAGTGCCCCATGGACCCTGCAGGGGTGCCAAAGGGCATCCCGAGGCTCCTGCCTGTGACGCTCACACGCCAGTCTGCTGAGCCATCCACCTCAGTGCCAATGATTTTCTCTGATTTGTGGGACTTCACAAAACCCCAAGTTTTAAATGAGCAGCAGCCCTACCACCAGTGGCCGCCCCTGGGCCAGGGAGCACTGAATCTGACTGAGCAGTGACAGGGTCTGGGCGCTCAGGTGCTCGCTCGGACAAGCAAGGGCAAGACCAGAGTTTCTGGGCTCTTTACCCCCAGATGAAGCCTGTGTGCATTCGCCCCCTCTCTGGAGGGAGGAAGCTGGAGGGGGGCCTTAAACTCATCTGGCATCCTGTTGCTTTTACAGGAAACATCACTTGGCACCCCCCCCCCCCCCCCGACAATCGAGCATCTACACGCAAACAGGACCTGGCTCCCAGTTGCACCCAAGGCCCCCAGGGGCAGTGGACCACTGGGAAACACCCCTGAGAGCAACAGAGTCCAATAAAATAGCTTTGCTCCTTGGTCACGTCGGCCACATTTCATTTCAAGGACTCGGTGCTCACGTGACTGAACTTGGACTTGACAGACTCCGACAACAGAGACGACAGAACAAGCTCCGAGAGAATTCAATTAGCTGGAGTCTCCTCTCTCTCATTTCCTGCTTCTGTCTTGCCTTGCCCTGTCTGGGGCTGCTTCCCGCCCCTGTGATGGGGGGCCATGAAGTGCCTGGCAGAACAGACCTTTCCGTGCTCCGTGTCAAGCCCCTGGACTCTGATGTCCCAACACTGGCAATCATCTAAAAATGCCAAGGGTGATAATAAAACACTGTAGAGACAAGAGATGGAGAGACATAACCAAATCTAATTTGTTTCTTGTGGAGGATTCCAGAATGAAAGCAATATTAAACAGACGGGACTGCAGAAAGCTCAAGTGTGGAGTTCTAGTCATACAAATGTTAGTTTCTAGATGCCCCCCAAACGCGTGAAGTGTTAAAGATATGGAAACTGGGTAAACCTGATTTGAGAGCTCGGCTCTCTCTTTCCAACTTTACTAGAAATCATATTCTAAAAGAGAGACTAGCGCTGAGGAGGGGGCCTAGGGGGACTCGACCCAGCAGGGCTGGAGTGCTAACTCGGCAGGCTTTGCACACTGGGACAGCAGTAGCACAAGCCCCCCACTCCCCACCCCAGCACTGCCACGAGCAACTCCTGAGCAACAGTAGGTATGGACCCCCCAAAAATTAATTAATTAAATTTAAACGAGGGGCTGGAGTGACCGTACAGCAGGTAGGACGCTTGCTTTGTACTCGGTCTGCCCAGGTTCAATTCCCTGAACCGGACATCCCCTATGGTCATCCGAGCACTTCCAAGAGTGATTCCTAAGCACTGAACCTGAGCATCTCCAGAAGTGACCTTAGCTTAGACTTTATAGACGCTACGACAAAAACTTTAAAAAAATAAAAGTTCCTAATTTTAAGCATATCACTGGCATCTAAAACTGGGGGGGGGGGGGGGGCTTGCAGAGACCTCCATGGGAACAGGCGGGGTCTTTAGAAGACCGACTCCAAGGGTCAGAGACCCTGAGGCATCTTTGGCCCAGACACTGGATCAAAAAGAAACAAAAATAAACATGGGAGAGATCGGAGCGCTCTGAAAGACATCTGGAGTGAGGGCAGCCTTGGAGCCAACGAGAGTGGAACGAGAAAGCCAACCAGAGGTGCTTCCACTCTGAGCACAGCGGGGAGGGCATTTGCCTTGTAAGCGGCCGGCCCGGGTTCGATCCCTGGTATCCCATATGGTTCCTCAAGCACTGCCAGGAGTGATTCCTGAGTGCAAAGCCAAGAGTTACCCCTGTGCAACGCCAGGTGTGACACACCTCCCACCCCCCCCCCCCAAAAAAAGATGGCAATGATGAAGAGCAGGAGTCTGGTCATGTCATGGCTCCACTCACTGGTCACGCTCTCCCTGCCGCCGCCCCTCCTCCCCCTGCTTCCTCCTTCTACATCCCTGACTCAGGGATACAGATCTCCCTCCACAGCCCTGACCTAACCAGTCGCCAGTGCTGCCCATTAGGCCCGTGCATTGGTCACCACCTCCCGCCCCCTTGGCCAGCACTGCGGTTCAGAGCCACAGGATTCCTCTAACTCTCCTCTGCCCACTCCCATGCCAATGGATCCGGCTGATGCAGGAGTCCCCACAGCACAGCTTCCGACGAGGACCTCTGAGAGCAGAGCAGAGCAGAGCAGCTTATGAGAGGCCCTGGGCCCCCTCACGCCCTCTCACGCCAACAGCCCTAACTACTCAGTATACGCAGCGCTCTTCCTATCCATCTGCCGCCTCTACCCAAGGAGCTCCGTCTCTTCATGCCATTCCCAGCCAACACCTCACATGTACAGTGACCGAAAGCATTAGAAGAAATGCTCCAAACCTCTGCTCAGGAGCCAGCCTGGGGCTGGGAGGGTGCTCAGCGAGCACGAAGCCCCAATTCTGACCCTCAGCACCACAGCACACCCCGCAGCACTGCCATGTGCGGCCCCTGTGACTCAGAGTCACTAGGAAGAGGTCCCGCAGTCCCAGGACATGTCTGGGAGTCCCCCCCCAAAATCTAAAACAAGACCGAAGGAACAGCCAACCACGGAGCCAGAGAGGGGCTGAGGCGCTTGCCTTGCATGCAGAAGATCTGGAGATAAACCCTGGCACCCCATGCGGTCCCGAGCCAAGCGGGGAGGGGGGTGCGGATCAGAGCCAGGAGCAAGCCCTGAGCCCTGCTGCGCGTGGCCCAAGACGTGAAAACACAAAGCCATCACACTCCCTAAAGCCCGAGTTCTCTGCCACCTTCCCCGCTGACGACTCCCCGATGTCTCTTGCCCGCTTCCTGCCATCCACTGGGAGCCCCACATCATATGCTGCCCCTGTGCCTTTGGTCATGCTGACCCCATGCCATTCCATTCTTTCTACAGCGAGCCATCTCATCGACCCTCTCACACCCCCAGCAACTTAGCCAGAGTCTCACCCAAGCAAGGCCAGTGCTCTACCACGGGGCTCCACTGCCCAGTCCCTTCACTTCATCTCTTCTGTTTGGGCTGGCAGGGTGGGATATTTGGGCCATATCCAACAGTGCCAAGGATCCCGTCTGGTGGTTCTGGGACAGAACCCAGGTCAGCCACATGCCAAGTGCCTTTACCTCTGTACGCTCATGCTCATATTCTCATTCTCTCTCTCTCTCTCTCTCTCTCTCTCTCTACTTTGTTACACCAATTATCCCTTCACTATGCTTGAGGACATTATTTTAACCTAGCAACACTGCATTATGCCGCCTTTTAGTGTATCCTACTAGCATTTTTTTCTCTTGTAAAATATAAGCTACGCCATTGGACACTTTATACAAGCAGCCATCCATCCAGTTAAGGTTCTCTGAACCATTGCTGACCCCCAATGAAGAAAGGCAGTACTAACTGTAGAGGTCAGTCTCCGACTCCAGATCACAGGGGCCAGAGATAGCACCGTAGGTAGAGAGCTTGCCTTTCAAGTGGCCAACCAGGGTTCGATCCCCAACACCCCACAGGGTTTCCGGTGTTGACCAGGCCTGATGCCCAAGTGCAGAGCCAGGAGGAATCCCTGAGCACTGCCCAGCACGTCCCAAAAACAAAAGGAAAGAAAGAGACAGGTAAGAAGCCCAGAGGCGGCCCAGGTTAGCCCCCTGGAAGGCTGAAGGAAGTGCTGGAAGCCTGACCCCAGGGCATGTGCTAGGCTGTGCTGACAACTGAACAGCAACACCCAACGGAGGACCCTGGGGAGTCTGCCCTCACCCCGCCCCCCAGTCCCGTTCAGACTCGTCTCTCTGTCATTCTGGAGGTGAATTTTTAAAAAATGCATATCAACAACCTTGCTTTAATGAAAAAGAGAATAAAAATAGCTTTAAACAACGTACCTTTGAGTTTTTGTTCAGTGGCCTAAAATAAAAACAAACAAACAAAAAACAATGTAAATATGAAACTGGAAGAAATGGATTGTTATGATACAATGCTCACATTACTATCGTTATTATTACAACATAAGACATACACGCTCCTTTCGTAAGATAAGGAATCTCATCTCGATGAGGTGCCTAGGAAAAGACACGTAGTGCAGACATGCTTTTCCCATAGATGCGCCCCCCTGTCCCTGAGAACGGGGTTCCTGCAGATGCTAAACAGGTACCACTGCTGGCCAGTAGATCATTAAAAAAAGGAGCTGAATTTTCTGCCTTCACTTCCTAATTTTATAGAACTGCCACTTTACATCAAATGGATGTAATAATGCATTTTGCAAAGGTTTAAACGGCTTCAGAAACTCCTGCTTCAAATGAGAGAATTTAATTAAGGTCCCAGAAGCAAAGCTGCAGATGAACCGTGCTGGCCAAATTAGTAATATTAACTCCTCGAGAGTAGGCTGTCTCAGTTAAGCATACTCAACCACTGAAGATTCTAAGGGGGAGGGGGAAATCTGTCCCTTCTGACACATCTGCCAACTCCTTAGAATCCCTGTGCTCAGAAGCTGCACTGCCTTGAATCCCGATGTCACTGGCTGTCCCTGCTGCTGTGTGTGACTTCACAGACCTCAAAAAGAACTGATTATGCTGAGAGGCCACCAACAAAATTCCAGTTTTGTTGGGTTGGTTTTTTTTGGCGGGGGGGCAAGGGGGGTGGTTACTGAGCCACACCCGCTGTGCGCAGGGCTTACTCCTGGTGGGCTGGAAAGACACTGCAAGGGGTGCCTGGGATGGAACCCAGTGGGCAGGGTGCAAGGCACACACTGTTGCTCTAGCTCCCAGCTTTTCAGTGAAAAGCAGTTGTAAGGGAGACCTGAAAAGTAAAAGCTCTAAGGATGGGAGGGAGGGAGGGAGGGAGGAGAGGAAAGACTGAATGATTTGTAACTGAACAACTGAAATTGTTTCTAAATAGAGATAAGGCTTTTCTGAACTGCCCCCGGGCATGTTAAGTCAGCGCTCACTCATTAAATTGTTACCAAAAATATCATTTTGAAAGAATTTTACTGCAGAACCATGTGGTAAAGAACCACCAGGCAATGAACTGAAGCCATACCAAACACCCATCTTTCCTGAGCAGAGAGTGGGTCTACCTAGGTCTATCCAGAGCACTAATGATATATAAAATAATGGAGGCGCATCTTTATTTTACATGGATTAAAAAAAAAGTTTAATTGATGGAAAGAAATGGCAAGAGTCCAGCAAACTAGCTTGAACATTGAGGTTTTCATTTAAAATCTCATAGCAGAAAAACAGCTCTATGAGAGAACTCATATGAATGCTTTGAAGTATTAGCGTTATGTGTCAAGTAAGATACGTAATTGTCTGAAGTCAAAAAAACTAGCTCAAAATGACTGCATGCTGAAGCTTTCTTCTTGCTGAGATTTCCTCCGCTTTCACGGCTTGCATTCTGAGAACATTAAGCTTCAATAACTGCTTTACCAGAAATCCAAGATAAAAAATATCTCGTAGCTCTTACAAGGAGGAGTAAAGACTTCTACTATGCCACACCTTAGGAAAAGTGGTTCCACGTCCACTCAGAACAACGCTCCTCACATTCGACATTCTGCCCACGACAGAGAACAGAGCCAAAGTGACGCCCTTTCCAGGCCCGAGGCAGGCTGCTGCTGCAGGAAGAAACGCAGTAGCACCCAAAAGCTCTCACCTTCATCCTGAGTGATTTGCCCTCCCACTATTAAAAAGACAGGAACCGAAGCGACAGGACGGCAGGTAGGGCGCTTGCCTTCCATGCAGCTGACCCACATCAATCCCTAGCACCCCATGTGGTCCCCTGAGCAATGCCCAGACTGGCTCCCTGGGCACAGAGCCAGAGGTAAGCCCTCAGCATTGTTGGGTGTGGCCCCAAAGCAAAACGAAAAGATGATTTCCAAAGTGGTGTCAGAGATTACTGGTCTGCTGGAAATGGTTACACTATTTTGCATGTATGAAACACATATCAAATCCCTACTACTTGGTATTAAAGAAAACAAAATATCTCACTCCTAACATTTAACATGAATCCCGTTCTGGGCAGAGTACATTACCGAAGCCACGTTAGAACTAACTTCATCTGTTTCTTTTTCACTATTAAACATCCTGGTCATTTTAACCCTCTGGGTCTCAGTTTTCTAGTCCTTTGCGGGGAACAAAGAACCCACCTGAGACTAAGTCTAAGAGGAAAAGTGCTTTTCTGGGAAAACAACAGAACTATTTAAATGGGAGGAGGTGTGCTGTGGGTCCCTCTTGTGTAACAGGCTTAATTCTGACAACACTAGCAGATCATTTCCATTTTTAATCTATCGTTTCTGAAAAACAAGAGACCACCAAGTCTGAGCTGGGACTGCACACAGGCGGAGGGTGGCAGCAAGCACACCGGAGCCACGTTTCTGCCAAGCCCATACCTCCGGCATCCTTCGGAAGCACACTCAGCCCCTAGGAGCCCGGGCACCTGCCTTTCCATCCCGGGATGGCCTTGTTGTTCCTTGTCACCAGGCTAGTCAGAACGCTCTCAGGCTTGGTCTCCTCATCGGTAAGGCAGGAACAACTGACAACACGACACGTCTCGCAGCCCCAAAGCCTCTTCTTCTCGGAGGTCCCACCTGCCCAGGCCTGTGGCTCCATCCCGCCTCTCCCCTGTGGAAAGGGCCTCACTGTGGCTGCTCACCCCCCACCCTGCCCCGTCTCCTGCTTCCCCGCCTTTCTCTTTCTAATCATCTCGAGTGTTTCTCTACAGTGCCAGGAACTCCAGGGAAAAATAACTAATGTAGATCGAGTCACTCGTTTTCACTGATAGGAACCACGGCTGGAGGAGCTCCCCTGCGACTTCCTAGCACACAAGCATCCAAACTTAGAACCCACGTTCTGATTTGCCTGCTGGTTCAAACACGTGGGAAGAAAAACACGTTGCAGAGAACATCTGACTGCAGTGCTCCAGGCCTGGGTATGTTTCCGACTCTGGTCACAAAGTCGTATTACTAGCAAGCACATCAAGAGTTGCTAGGAGATCCGCACTGCGCGGGCCCCGCGTGTAAAGCATGCACTCGTCCCTTGAGCTGCCTCCCCAGTCCTTTGACACATAATCCCTGTGTGGGACACATGATGAATGAATACGAAAATTCTCAAAAGGGTGAAGTTAAAAGGTTACTACCACCTAAATCTCAAACTCAAATTGAGTACATTTAGATCCACAAGGCCAGAGGGAGGGGGAAAAAATCCCTTCAACTCAAGGCAGAACAAAAACACCCATAAATACTGACTTTAAAACATTCTCAACACCAAACGATCCCAATTTGTACTCTCCCTCCAGCCCTCTACCATTATATGCTTTCTAGGAACTACAATTACATGCTTAAAGTAAAGGTTACACTAAATTATCCCTCTATGATTAACCTATTTCTCAACCTCCTTTTTCTTCCTCTCTACATTTCCCTCAAGATTCCTTCTAGAAATTTCTTCTAAAAACAGAACCTGGAGATAATCCCTGGTAACAACCTGCTACTATTGTTGCCTCCTTTTTGAGGACAGACACTATTTTCCCATGCTCTATCAAGTGATTTTCTGAGAACCAGGAAGGAGATAATGGTCACAACTCTTAAATGTGCAATGGGGGGCTAAAAAAAAATTCAAACAAAAATAACAAACAAAGCCTTCCCATCACTGGTCTCTATTATTAATCAATGTTGTATTGGAACTAAATAGAATACAGTGCAGGGGATAGGGCAGCACTTGCCTTGCATGCAGACAACCTGGTTCAATCCCCACCTCCCTTATGGATCCCCCCGAAACCTGCCAGATTCCTGAGTGCAGAGCCAGGAGTAACCCCTGAGCATCGCTGCCAGTTGTGGCCCCCAAGACCCCCTCCACCAAATTAATTAAATACAAGAGAATTTGTATAATTTTTGTGCAAAATTTTCCTCAAAGAATTGAAACATCTGTTTTTATTTAATAATAGATAAAAATTGGGGCTGGAGTGATAGCACAGCGGGTAGGGCGTTTGCCTTGCATGCAGCCAACCCGGGTTCGATTCCCAACATCCCATATGGCCCCCCGAGCACCGCCAGGAGTAATACCTTAGTGCATGAATCAGGAGTAACCTCTGTGCATCGCCGGGTGTGACCCAAAAAGCAAAAATAATTTAATAATAATAATAAAAATCTTTAAATACATAAAAATATTCAAGCTACAGTAAAAACACTGTAATGAGCCTTGTTGGTATCTAACTGTATGAAAATTGTAGCTGTCTAGTTTTGAATTGAAACTAGAAAATATCTCACGATCTGAACTCAAATATATCTTGAAAAAGACCACAGTGGCTATTTGAGGCTATTAAATATATTTTTACTGTATTCAAGGCATAAAAAAACGTATTAGATGCTTTCTAAAAACTGTTACCATTTCCAGCTTTAAAGTGCAACTTTACATTGTAAAAAAATTAAGCAAGTACGTCAGATAACGTTCTGATTCAAAAGGATAAAGCCACAGCACCAAGTTTTAGAAAAGCACCAGCTGAGGGAGTCAGATTTCAAGTCTATTTCTAGCTCTGGCACCCTATGGAAGCCACAGTAGCCACTTAATTTTCATGTCTGGGATCCTTATCCACGGCTTGGTCATACACAAGATGAGGGTCCAGTGACTCAGTACAGTGGCTAAGGGAGCTGACTTGCGGCTACCATGGGTTCAATCCCCAGCACCGCAGAGGTCTCCCCAAATTCTGCCAGAACTATGAGAAAGCCTGAGCTCCCACCGGGCGACCCAAGAGCCCAGGCCCCCAAAAAGGAATGCTAGTTGCTGAAGTCTTTTCAGAACTAACATGCTGTTTTTGCAAGAATGATGACATACCTAGGCAGACTCTGCTTTCCACCGCACTGAACTGTCTGAAGGCTCACGCGCCTGTGGGCTGGCTCCTACTACGGAGAGCGCGTGAGCACGCTGCGTGGAAAAGCCTGTGACTCACTGTCTTTCAAATAGGTCGTAACTGGGCCAACCTGGGAGTTCTGTTCTGTTCTGTTCTGCTCCAGTGTGATCTGGTAAGAGCCAAGAGGAATACCAGCTGGCTCTCTCTTCCTCCCCCACAGGCTGGAATCCAATTCAGCTGAATGCTGGGGAGCGGGACGAGGATGAGGGGAACAGTCTTCCTTACTGACACGGCGAGCTGGCCCACTGAACTTGACAGAGACAAGAGCCCTTAGCCTCGCCTTGCTCTTGGACCCAGTGAGGAGGCAGTCCTGGGTGTCTAGGAGATAACTACAGGGTCACCCTCACTGCTGAAGTTCTCACAAAACATTCCCTGCTTGGGGGCTGGAGAGAAGAGGCGGGTTCAAGCCTGGGGGTATGGGGATGAGGTCCGGGTGCAGGGATGCTGTAGACAAGGACAAGGAGAGCCGCAACTTTATTGTTTTTTTCTTTTGGGGGCCACACCTGGTTGTTGCTCAGGGGTTACTCCTGGCTCTGCACTCAGGACTTACTCCTGGCAGTGCTCGGGGATCCTATGGGATGCTGGGGATCAAATCCAGGTCAGCCACATGCAAGGCAAACGCCCTCCCTGCTGTGCCTACCTCTGGCCCCAAAGCCATGACTTGAAATATGAGAAGTCAAATGGTATAAAAATCTACTCCCCAACACTCACGTGGTAATTCAGAGCTTGTTTATAGAAGACGATAAAGAGGGGACCAAGAGGTGGAGAGTCTGAGGCGCGTGTCCTGCCTGCAGCTGACCTGGGGTTCCCAGCCCCAGGCCCTGAGCACTGCTGGGTGTGGCCCAATACCCAAAATAGTGATAACAAAAATAACACAAAGACAAATTGTAACAAATTGAGTCATCACTTGCTTGTTACAACTTAAAAGTTACACTGTATGTTACATAATCTTAAAAAAAACAAAACACCACATTCTTCTACTCTGAAGACGCCCTCTCCTCTTCAGCACACATCTAAACCAACCTCTCTCCTTCCCTCCCTTTGTTCCCCCCCCAAAAAACTTGTTTTAAAGAACAAAAAAAAGTACCTAAAATTATTCTAGTGACCCCCTCCCTTTCTTAGCATTTCCTCATGAGCGTAAATCCCAAATAAACACGCTTCACTATACACTACCAGAGTTCTCTTTAGCTCTTTCCTATCCAGGCTGACTGACCAGTCCGATCCGAATGCGTTTCGACGACTCTCAGATGCTTGTCCATCTACTGAGTTGCATAAACATAGTGGAGCCCTTTTCCCCCACTGATCCCTCAAGGCTCAAAGGGATGGCGTGCACACAAGACCTAGCATCACCTGGTCTCAGAGCACAGCCAGGAGTGACCCCAAGCACTGAGTCCCAAGCAGCTCCCAAGTAGCGCTGCAGGTGGTCCAAAAAAACAAAAAAGAAAATAAACTTTCTTAGAAACTCTCTCCTTAGGCAAAAGCCTTTCCCACCATGAGTCAGAGAGCCTGCTGAGGCTTCTCTCCACCTTAGCCTTCAGGACATCATTTTGCAGAACAAACCCTGATCAGACTGCCAAGAACAGCACATATCAATCAAGAGGCCGCATCAAGGCCCAGGCTTTTCTAAACACGAGAACAGCTCCCAATGGGGCTCACGCCCAAGCGCAACCGGAAGTGCCCCGAGTGTAAGCTGCAGCACAGCCCAGAACAGAAGCAGGCACAGAAGGTGTCCTGGAGGCTGATGGCTCCAGCCCGCGGCCGTCTGGCCTCATCACTCCTAACCCCCCACCATGCTGCTGACCAGACCCTCAAGTCACGACTGACTGAATGGCTGTTTTTCCTTTGTTCCTATTCCCGAATTTGATTAACTGCTCACAAGCGACACGGTGGCTGTCTTATCCATGGGGGACATCCCCACGGGACACCTGGTCTCCGAGACAGCACTGATAAACATACCCCGTTTTCCTTAAAACACACATCCATACTTAACGAGGGTGTTTACAATATAAGGCACTGTAAGAGTTAACACAAAGAACGATTAAAACACCGCCATCAAGGTTACACTGAATGGGGTCTGTCTCTGGAGGTACCTTACTGTGTCCAGTGGTCCTGGCGGCCCTCGAGCCACTGGAACTGCGGTGTGATACTCAGGTAGGACGGCCGCTGTCCTTAGCCAACCTGAACCTTGCCCATCTGTGAGGGAGCGACACTCCAGGGTGTGCGGTGACTTCTGCCCCCATGTCTCAGCCTCGAGTTTTGACTCCTTCCAATTCAACTCCACAGTCAGCCAATGCCAACACTATAAACTACAAATGTTTCTGGGGCTCTACTGAAAAAATCCTCCCAGTACCCCAAAGCCAAGATGCAAGAGGAGCCAAGCTCCCCACTCTCGCCAGAGGTCCCTACATCTCCCTGTCCCTTTCCAGACCCAGTTAAGCATTAACCTCCAACTTCAACAGGTTCCTGGTGAGCCCAGTCTGGTCCCCTGGGTTTTCCCTACTCAAGGGTACGGAGATACTGTGTCTTCTCTCTCCCTCACGCCTGGCACAGCAGAGGTCTCTGTTAAAAGCGGTGGTCATCGTATTTCACCAGGACACAGAAATGGAACCATTTCCCTAGGTTCTTGAGTAACCTTAACAAGTCAGGAGTTGAATATCTAGTGTAGGGAATTCAACAGCCTCTAATGTTAATTTGTAAAGACCTTTATAATTATGGCATCCTTTAACTTAGAATATTTTTATTGATTTCTGACAATATCCTTTGTAGCACACTATGTTTTAAGCTTATTATTAAATACCCTAAACTGCAAAAGTTTAAAAATAAGGCCAGGTATTAAAAAGGGAAAGGGAAAATAATAATTTCTTTCTTATTATGCCTATTATTTGATATGTGCGTTATATTACCTCATTTAATTCACTTCTCATCTTATAAAATATAAAGAAACGTAGGCCCAGAGAAGCTAAATGAAGGCCACACCATTCTGATTTCCAACCCGTTCTGTTACTATAAATTCCACCTTATTCTTCCATATAAAATGACATAATACAAAACTCAGAAGTAAAAAAAGTAAAGATCTGAAAGTAAAGATCTGTATATAGACAGCACTTACCTTTGGAAAACAAAATACTGGCAAGATTAAATACATTAAGTTTTACACAGTTGGCAATTTTCCACATTTGCATATTAAAAGACATCAAATACTAAAATACATCTCCAGTTAAATTAACACTGAAGCAAATATTTTTCTATTATTAGTAAGAGCAATTATCCTTTTTAAATATGCTTAATATAAAATGTATACACATACTACCTTCTTTTGAGCAGCTTCCTTCTTTTTCTTGTCGTCTTTTTTCTTTTTCTTTTCTTCCATCAACTGTTCTTCTTCTTGCACTAAATCCCTGAACCACACAGTTGCAATTAACTTTCCCAAAATGTATAAAAGAATAAAAATAACTGTTCTGTTACTATAAATACAGTTTTATTGACAATACAGGTTTATTGTCTCTTAATTAGAAAACATGGCAACTTTTACTCTCCTGTTGAAATTAAACACAATTTGCAACTTACACCTAACTATACAGTCATATACAGCATTATCTTTAGTAAATCTTAAATAGAACTTTTATCTCAGCACATCAAAAATGACAACCTGTAATTTATACTGGGAAACAAGCAACTGTCTCCAACTTCAGGACATCATCAATAAACTCATGGGTGTGAGTTAACCTGCTTCGGGTCCCAATTATCAATCAATAGCTAATGGCAATGCCGGAAACTCCCATCATCCTTCTGCCAAAGCAGGTGTCCCTATTCTCTTTACTTTCCTCATCTTGATGGCTTTATGATTATTTTCAGAATGCAAATGACTCTAAATAAGTGACTTTTACTTCTGCAAGACAGTTCCGTAACGCTCTAAAACATTCCAAACTATTCTAGCAACACTTGGAGACACATTACTAGCTCCCCTCCCCTTCTCATCATGTAAGTTTGTTTCAGTGCTTTTAAAATCACAAACACGGAGGGTTATCAGGAGAACCGCTGGTCCAGAATTTCAAAAGATCAGATAGGACAAATGTCTCTGTCATCTTCTCTCTACTCAGTCTCACTGAAATGATGGGGACCAGGGAGGGTCACTAAACTGCCCAGGGCTGATGAGTGAGTAAATGAGAGCAAAAGAAGCAATCCCTCGAGAACAGAGTCTCCCCAGATCTCAGTGGGTGGGGAGAGAGGCAGGGAGACCCGCACTAGGAGCGGGGAGCGCGGAAGTCTCGGGAGCCAAACTATGGGAACAACTTGGTTCTCCACTGACTGTGTCCCCCACCCCAGCCCCCAGCAGCACTTGGAGCCAGCGGGGAACCCAGTGAAACTGTCCGAAATGCCCCTGCAAGAACGGAGGCCGGCTCCCGGGTCCAAACACTGCAGACAGGAAAGGACAGCCAGTGCCCTGGGTAATCCCCTCAAATGAAACTGCCCACGAGCACACAAGGAGTGACCTTCAGTGCAGGAGCTGCACCCAGGCCACCCAAGTTACCTACAGGGACTGCCCGAGCCCCTAACGGGACCCTGAGGACACAGTCCAGGCTCCAGAGTCAGGCACACAGGGTGGGTTCGGGGGAAGGAACTGTGGATGCCGGGAGCTGCGGAAATGACCAGCAAACACACAAGGAACTGCAAAGGGTCACTGAAGGCACTCTGCCCTGCAGAGATGGCACGTGGCACAGCCAGAGCTGGCCAGGGGAGGACAGTGAGAGGAGATGCAGGTGGACAGTGAAACACCCCATGACTGACATCAGCTATCCATAACCCAGCAGGCTAGGGTGGGATGCCAAGTAGACAATTAGCTAAAATCACCAGCTGGAAGAGTGTTAACTCTCGGCCTCTTCATGTTTGCCTCGCGGAACTGTCATGCGGCTAGGAGACTGGGCAAAACAGCTTCTGGCCCAAAGTGACCGTCACCCCCCATCAGAGTCTAAGCGAGGGAATGAGAGGCGGCAGTCTTGGACTACTATCCTGGGGAAGTCAAGGATCAAGGCTGTCATTCTGGGGTCCAACAAAAGCATAGAGGGGTAGGTGTTTACCCCCACACCCCATATGCTTCTCCAAGCAGCTCCGAGGAGTAACTCCTGAGGGCAGAGCCAGGATTAAGCCCTGAGCATCACCAAGTATGCATCCCCCCCCCCCCCGCCAAAAAAAAAAAAAGGAAAAATAGAAAAGAAACAACAAAACAAAACAAAAAGACAGGTCCAGCTTGAGGGGTTTCCACAAGTCCTGCCATCAGTCACATGCTAGTGAAGGGTCACAGTCCACTGAACAGAGTGAGAATCCACGGGATGGGGGCATGAGCTCATGGTGCAGACTGTATGTGCTGCATACAAAAGCCCAGGGCCTGATTCCCAGGATCACATGGACCCCAGGACACTGCTGCAAACAACCCACAAGCAACTGGCCAGGAGCAGCCTCTGACCACTGCCAAGTCACACACACACACACACACACACACACACACACACACACACACGGTCCTACTGATAAACAGCAGGTTAATGAACAAGTAACGGAAGATGAATGAAAAGGGTAATTAGTTAAAATCACAGCACAGAACATTAGAAGGAAGTCAAAGATGAAGAGCAAGAGAGGCAGTACAGAGAGCAGGGCGCTGGCCGTGCACATGGCCGACCCAGGTTTGATCCCCAGCAAGGCATACGGTCCCCTGAGCTCTGTCAGGAGTGATCCCTGAGCACAGAGCCTGAACACAGCCGAAAATCCCAACGAGGGCAAAACAAAAAACTAATTTGGCACTCAGCCGGTGCAGACTCAAATTCAGCTCTAAGAAATGAGGGGTGAGAGACACTGCAACAATCCCCAGCACCTCTGTCCTTCAGACGCCACCGGGCTGCTTGGGCGCCAAGAAGGCCATGACCCCACAGAGCTGCACACACCAGAACCCAGAAGCAAGCCACGTGCTGGCAGAGCAAAACCCCGAACCAAGAGAAACCAAGGGGCTGAAGAGGACGTGAGCCACAGCCAACGCAGTGTGCAGGGGGCACGACAGGTTCCCCCAGATGGGAGGAGTCCGAAGAGCCACCAGGCGAGCCAGCCGATCCTCAAGGGGGCCGAGAGGCCAAGGCAGTAAAAGCAGGCCTGCAGGGAAAGAGGTGCCCTTCTGTCGAAGGCGTGGCAGAGAGCATGCCTGTGGCATACTCACTCACCCACACCGTACAAAGGGTCGTTACTCAGCCACGAGAAAGAAGGAAATTTTGCCATTCGGAATTTGGATCAATTGGACGCTGGGACTACAAGGCAGAACCAGTATGATATCGCACACGGAACAAGACGACCGAGGCTGCAAGCACAGACTGGAGTGGCACTTTGCAGAGTCTCTAGAGGATAGGGAGAGTGAGAGATGAGCTCCGAGGGTACAGACTTGCAGCTAGGGGCTGGAGCGTTTGGCAAGGAGGGTGTTTGCCTTGCACGTAGTTGACCTGTGTCCGATGCCCAGCACCCCGTAGGGTCCCCCAAGTGCTGCCAGGAGTGATCCCTGAACAGAGGCAGGAGTCAGCCCTGAGAAACGCCAGGTGTGGCCCAAAACACAAACAAGTGGACAAACTTGCACCTTGAAAGCTGTGACTGAGAGTTATGGAGAGCTAATGTAGAGGGACTATAAGTTTAACAATCGCATGTTCTCCATACTTCAAAGTAGCCTCAAGATAAGCATTTAAATATTCTCACCACAAAAAAGAAGTTTAAGTATATGCCACAACAGAGATGTCAACCAACATTTAGGTGGTTATCATACTTCAGTACAAAAATACATCAAATCAGTAGAGCTTTATACCTTAAATTTACACAATTGATGTCAATTATAGCCCAGTTAAAAAGCAAAACTAAGGGCTGGGCACAAAAGAAAGTGAAACCAAAAAACAAAAAAATGTGAACCAGGGTCTGCAGCGGCAGTACAAGGGTAGAGTAGCTTGCCTTGCATGTAGCTGACCTGGGTTCAATCCCTGGCAGCCTATGTGAACCCCGAAGTACGGCCAGGAGTAATTCCTGAGTGCTGAGCCAGGAGTAACCCCCAGCACTACTGGGGGGAGAAAGTGAAACAGATATCGTCAATGATGACTTAACAAAGCTGGGAGTGAGGGGGAAAGTAGAAAAAGGAAACGAAAATATAAAAACAGCCATTGCTGCAAAATGTAGAATGAGGCAGATGTCCAACCTACAGCTCAAAATCCAAAAGAAAAGTAAGATATCATCAAGAAAACTACAGATAAACATACCTTTATGGATGCAGACATACAAATTCTCCACAAAAATTTAAAAACATAAAGGTCAAGAGCCCTGAGCACAGTTGGGTATGGGGGAAAACTTTTTTTTTTTTTAATTAAAATGTAATGGTTGTGACAGAGGGTGTTAAAGTGCTTTCCTTGCAAACTAGTCGCCAACCCTAGTTCTATCCCAGGTATCACTTAAGGTCCCGTGGGGCACAGTCAGGACTCACTCATTCACTCACTCCTGACTGGGCACATAGCCAGGAATAGTCACGGAGCAGAAAAACAAAAAATAAGTAAGTAAACTGGGGTTGAAGATAAAGTACAGAAGGCAAAGTGTTTGCCTTGCATGTGTCTATGACAGCTGAAATTTTGGTCTGAGGCCCGGCACCCCCATGGGATGTGGTGGTGGTGAGAAAATGGCCAAAAATGTATATCAGAATAAAAACTGAGGGGGCCAGAGAGACAGTACAGTGGGGTGGGCTCTTGCCTTGCATGCAGCCAAGTTCCATCCCTGGCCCCACATATTCCTCTGCACACCGCCAGGAGTGATCCCTGAGTGCAGAGCCAGAAGTAACCCCTGAGCACTGCCAGGTGTGACCCAAATATCAAGGGGGGAAGAAAATGAACACTCCTGTAACTGTGCTGAACTACAGTGATGATGAGGTGGCATCACCTTGCATGTGTGATGTCCTGGGTTCTATTCCTGGCACCACTGATATGTGGCTATCAATGAAAAATATAGCAAGATTTAAAACAAACAAACAAACAAAAACCCTACATATTGGGGCTGGAGAGACAGCACTGCAGCAGGTAGGGTGCTAAGCGTCTTGCAGGTGGCTGACCCCGGTTTGATCCACAGCTCCCCGTCGGGTGCCCTGGGGCCCCACCAGGAGTGCTCCATGAGCACAGCCAGAGAAAGCCCTGCACACAGCTGGGTGTGCACCGCTCTGCGCCCACCCCCAAAGAAAAGTTATCTATGGTGCTCAAGTGGAATGTCTCCAGGAATGCATGGCTGGTTTAAATAGAGACCAGCATAATACAGAGGGTAGGGCACTTGCCTGGCAGTGGCAGGCCTGGGTTGGAACCAGGTTCAATCCCAGGGTTCGGTTCCTGTAGGGTCCTGAGCA